CTGAATAGACATTTTTCCAAAGAAGACATAGAGATGGCCAACAGGTACGTGAAAAGGTACTCAACATCACTAATCATAAGGGAAATGTAAATCAAAACCACCTCAAATGCAATGAGATACCACCTCACACTTGTCAGAATGCCACGCTTTTTAGTGAATACCTGTTTGCTGTTTTGGAATTCTCCTGTTTGTTAGGTCTTTCACATGGTCTGTCAACTCCTTCTGCTTTCTCCTACACAGATGTCCATTCCTTGTTGATCTTGTGGCTATGAATGATTTGCCCTTAACTGTTTTTATTTTGAGTTTCATGGGGATACACTGTCACTTAGTTTTGCTGTAAATATTACCCATGAATTTTTTCTTTTGTCTTTTTACTGAAATATAACATACACGCAGAAAAATACACAGACACAGTATAGCTCAGTCAATTTTCACATCTGAACACATCCATGTAATCGGTACCCAGATTAAGATACAAAACATTACTAACTCTTCAGAAGTCCCCCTCAGGTACAGTTCCATTCATGATCTCCCACTAAGGGTGAGCACCATACTGGCTTTTAACCAGCATATACAAGTTTCAGCCATGTCTGAACTTTATTCTCTTTTGTGTCTGACTTTTTTTTACTCAAATTATGTTTGTAAAACTTAGCTATATTTGTTACTTATAAGTAAAGAACTATAGTCTGTTTAACCTTATTGCTAAATAGTATTTCACTGTGTGAATATGCCAAAATTTATTTATCCATTCTACTACGTATGGGCATTTAAGTAGTGTTCAGTTTGGGGTATTACAAATAATGCTGCTATGAGCATTCTTGTACAAGCCTTTTGAGGAAATATGGTCTCATTCCCCTTAGGTATATATACGTGGGAGTGAAACTGCCAGGTCATGAGGGTATACCTATGTTTGACTTTTGTGCAACATTACGACCACCAACCCCCCCGAGGTTCTCAATCTTTATTGTTTCCTTTCTTCCATATACTTTAAGCTTATTTTGTTCTTGTTTTCTCCAACTTCTTAAGTTAGTACCTTAGTAACTGATTTTACCTTTCTTTTTTCTAATATAACTACTGAAAGTTATTCCTTTCTCTCTCAGCACTGCTTTAGTTGTATCCCACAAGTTTTAATGTATTTCATTATCATTCAGTTAAAAATACTTCTTAATTTTCTTTGTGATTTCTTCTTTGACTGATGGGTTATTTATAAGTATGTTGTTTAATTTGAAAATATTTAGGGACTTCCTATGTCATTGATTGCTAACTGAATTAGGTTGTGGTCAGAGAACATAGTGCAATTTCAATCTTTGGAAGTTTATGGAGGGACTTCCCTGGTGGTCCAGTGGTTAAGAATCCGCCTTCCAATGCAGGTGACAAGAGGTCAATCCCTGGTTGGGGAAATAAGAACCCACCTGCCACAGGGCAACTAAGCCTGTGCGCCAGAACTCCTGAGCCCGCGTGCTCTAGAGCCCATGTGCCACAACTAGAGAGAAGCCCACGCGCTGCAATGAAGAGCCCACACGCCGCCATGAAAGATCTCGCGTGCCGCGACGAAGATCCCACGTGCCACAACTAAGACCCAATGCAGCCAAATTAATTAACTAATTAATTTTAAAAATAAATTAATTAAAAAAAGAAAGTTTATGGACACTTATTTGGTGGCCCAGAATATGGTCTAAGTTAGTGAACGTACCATGTGCATTTGAAAAAAGGTGTACTTTGCAGCTATTGGATATATTTTTCTATAAATGTCAAACAGGTTAAGGTGGCTGCGAGTTTTCTCCAGATCTTTTATGTCCTTACTGATTTTCTGTCCAGAAATTCTTTCAGTTACTGAAAGAGAAGTATGAAAATCTCTAACTATGGCTATAGATTTCTCTATTTCTCCATTTAATTGTCAATTTTTTCTTCATGTAATTTGAAGGTTGTTATTAGTCACAAACATGTTTATGATTGCTATGTCCTCCAGATAAACTGCCCCTTTTATCAGCACTAAATGTCCTTTTGAAAGTCCAGTAACACCTTTTGTCTTGAAGTCTACTTTATCTGACATTATATAGCTACTGCAGCTTTCTTATGCTTACTGTTAGCATGGTATATTTAAAAAATCTTTTTACATTCCACCAATCTGTACCTTTATATTTAAATGCATCTCTTGATAGGAGATCAAGAGGGTGGTGTAAGAAGATGTGGAGTTCACCTCTCCCCATGAACACATCAAAAATATATCAACGTGTGGAACAATTCTCACCAAAAACTAACTGGAAATTGGCAGAAAGACTCCTGTACAACCAAGGTTGTAAGAAAGGTACACAGAAGTCCACAGAGAAGCCTGGGCTCCACTCATGAGTACTGTGTGGGTAGACTGCCCCCAGGTAGGGTAGAGAAACCAGTAGCCTGCTGTCCTAGGCTACTGGTTTCATGCAACAGCCATGCTGTGCTCTCAAGCCAGAGCTGAAAGAATGTTCTAGCCCTGCTCACTTCATGCCACAAGCATGACACTGGATCTAAGGTGGCCAGGACCTGGGAAGAGACTTGACCTTGAGATGGAGAGGTGACCCAGCTCTGGGGTGGAGCCCAGGTGGGGCAGCAGTGGTGACCATTGCTGGAATTTACTCAAGAGGTGCCCCAGAAGCAGCCCAGACTTCTGATGGCAGCAGAGCTGCTAGGTTTCCCACAGCCGCTTTGCTGTGTGTGTACCCTAGTCCAAGCTGAATGTTCTGGCCCTGCTCACTCGATGCCACAGTGTGGCACTACAAAAAAAGGAAACTACAGGCCAGTATATTTGATGAATATAAATGCAAAAATCCTCAACAAAATATTAGCAAACCAAATCTAAAAATATATAAAAAGGATCATATACCACGATCAAGCTGAATTTATTCTAGGGTCACAAGGGTAATTCAATATATGCAAATTAATCAGTGTGATACACCACATTATCAAAAGGAAGGATAAAAATCACATGATCGTCTCAACAGATGCAGAAAGACCAATGCGACAAAATTCAACATCCATTAATAATAAAAACTCTGAAAGTGGGTATCGAGGGAACATATCTCAACATAACAAAGGCCATTTAGGACAAACCCACAACCAATGTCATACTTAATGGTGAAAAGCTGAAAGCCTTCCCGCTAAATTCTGGAACAAGACAAGGATGCCCATTCTCGCTACTTCTATTCAACACAGTATTAGAAGTCCTAGTCACAGCAATCACACAAGAAAGAAATAAAAGGCATTCAAATCGGAAGGGAAGAGGTAAAACTGTCATTATTTGCAGATGACGTGGTACTATATCTAGAAAATCCTAAAGTCTCCACCCAAAAACTATTAGAACTAATAAATGAATTCAGCAAGGTTGTAGGATACAAGATCAATATACAGAAATTTGTTGCATTTCTATACACTAACAATAAAATACCAGAAAGAGAAAGTAAAAAAAAAAAATCCTGCTTAAAATTGCATCAAAAAGAATAAAATACCTAGGAATAAACTTAACTAAGAAGGTGAAAGACCTATACTCTGAAAACTATAAAACATTTATGAAGGAAACTAAAGATGATACAAAGAAATGGAAAGAAATCCTGTGCTCTTGGATTAGAAGAATTAATGTTATTAAAATGGCCATGCTGTCCAAAGCAATCTACAGATTTAATGCAATCCCTATCAAAATATGTATGATATTTTTCACAGGACTAGAGCAAATAACCCTAAAATTCATATGGAACCACAAAAGATCCTGAATTGCCAAAGCAATCTTGGGGAAAAAGAACAAAGCCAGAGGTATAGTGCTCCCAGACTTCAGACTATACTAAAAAGCTACAGTAATCAAAACAGCATGGTACTGGCACAAAAACAGACACACAGATTAATGGAACAGAATAGAGAGCCTAGAAATAGGCTATGGTCAATTAATCTATGACAAAAGAGGCAAGAATATACAATGAAGCAAAAACAGTCTCTTCAACAAGTGGTTCTGGGAAAATTGGACAGCTACATGTAAAACAATGAGATTAGAACATTCCCTCACACCATATACAAAAATGAACTCAAAATGGATTAGGAGACCTAAATATAAGACCTGAAACCATAAAACTCCTAGAAGAGAATATCGGCAGAACACTCTGACTTAATCGTAGCAATATTTTTTTTGGCTCTGTCTCCTAAGGCAAAAGAAGTAAAAGCAAAACTAAACACATGGGACATAATTAAACTTAAAAGCTTTTACACAGCAAGGGAAAATACTGACAAAATGAAAAGACAACCTACACGGTGGGAGCAAATATTTACAACTGATGTGACCCATAAGGGATTACTTAGTAATACGCATTTAAGGTTCCTCCATGTCTTTTTATGTCTTGATAGCTCATTTGTTTTTAGCAATGAATATTATTCCATTGTCTGTATGTACCACAGTTTATCCATTTGCCTACTGAGGGCATCTTGGTTGCTTCCAAATGTTGGCAATTATGAATAAAGCTGCTATAAACATTTGTGTGCAATTTTTGTGTGGACCTTAGTTCAACTCATTTGGGTAAATACCAAGGAGCATGACTGCTTGATAGTATGGTAAGAGAATGTTTAGTTCTGACAAACTGTCTTCCAAAGTGTCTGTACCATTTTACATTCCCACCAACAATGAACGACAGTTCCTGTTGCTCCATTATCCATGCCAGCATTTGGTGTTGTCAGTATTTTGGATTTTGGCCATTCTTATAGGGGTGTAGTGGGATCACTGTTGTTTTAATTTGCAATTCCCTAATGACATATGATGTTGGGCATCTTTTCATATGCTTATTTCCCCTCTGTATAATCTTATTTGGTGAGGTGTCTAAGGTCTTTTACTCATTTTTAAATTGGGGTGTTTAGGGACTTCCCTGGTGGTGCAGTGGTTAAGAATCTGCCTGCCAACGCGGGGGACACGGGTTCGAGCCCTGGTCCGGGAAGATCTAACGTGCCGCAGAGCAACTAAGCCCCTGTGCCACAACTACGGAGCCCGCGTGCCACAACTACTGAAGCCCAAGTGCCTGGAGCCTGTGCTCCGCAACAAGAGAAGCCACCGCAATGAGAAGCCCACGCACCACGACAAAGAGCAGCCCTCACTCAACGCAACGAGAGAAAGCCCGTGCGCGGCAACGAAGACCCAACACAACAACCAAATAAATAAATAAATAAATAAAATTGGGGTGTTTAATTGAGGCATTACTTCACTATCTCTGGGACCCACTTTCAAATGCGAAGGTGACAACAATTCATATCACTGTTCTTCTGCGTGTAATATGTACTTTATCTCTGGCTGCTTTTAAGATTCTCTTTTTCTTTTGTTTTCGGCAGTTTGACTATGATGTCTCTATGCTTGGTTTTCACTGTATTTAAAACCTGCTTAGTTAGGGCTTACTGCTATTTCTAAATTTCTAAATTTGTGTTTCACAGATTTGGGGAACATTTCAGCCATTATTTCTTCAATTTTTTTTAATGGCCCCTTCTCTCTCTTTATTCTCTCCTACTGGTATTCCAATTGTACGTAAGGTAGACCTTTTTACATCGTTCCACAGGTCACTGAGGCTCTTCATGTTTAACCAATCTTTTTTTTTTTTCTTCAGATTGGCTTATTTCAAGTAAACCAACCCTTTCTCCTGTCATTGCCAATCTGCTATTAATCTCATCCAATTAAAAAAAATTGAAATACAGTTGATGTACAATATTATGTTAGTTTCAGGTGCATTACAGTGGTTTGACATTTGCATACATTATGAAATGATCACCATCATAAATCTGGTAACCATCTGTCCCTACACAAAGTTATCACAATATTATTGACCACATTTCTTATGCTGTATATTACACCCCCGTGGCTTTATTTGTTTTGTAACTAGAGGTTTATAGCTCTTAATCCCCTTCACCTATTTCCCCTCTCCCACCTCCCTCTCCTGTGGCAACCACCCGTTTTTTTGTCTGTATCTATGAGGCTGGTTTGATTTTTAAACTTCAGATATTGTATTTTTCAGTTCCAGAATTTTTTGTGCATAGTTTCTTCTTCTCTGAGATTTCTTACTTTTTCATTCATTACAAGTATATTTTCCCCTATGCCCTTGAGCATAGAAATAAGCTGCTTTAAAGTCCTTATCTGCTAATTTCAACATCTGAGCCATCTTCCGGTTGGTCTTCATTGATTGCTTTTCCTCTTGAGTATAAGTCACATTTTCTTTCTTTTTTTTTCCCATACGTATAGTAGTTGAGGACTGAATCCCAGACTTTTTGAATGGTTATGTTGTAGAGATTATGAATTCCGTTTTGTTCCTCTAAAACGTACTGATTTTTCATTTTAGTTAGTTTTCATTTGTCTAGAACGAAAATTCAAATTTCTGTTTCCTCTGCATTGGGCAGTAGCTGGATTATCCATTCAGTTATTTTAGCTCTATCGAGGGTGCTTGGAGTCGATCCTGTATAGCTTAGTAGTCTGCCAGAGATTTGGGCAGGCTTTATACAATTAGGGCTCCTCCTCTGTGGTTCTCTCCTGGGATATCTTCTCAGGTTTCAGTTGCCACAGTCACCCTGAACTCAGTTCTCTCCTTCCTCATCCGATAAGGCTGGTTTCTATCCAAGTTCTACCCACCTCCATATTACAGCAAGTGCAGCCTGCCCATGGGTGAAAAGCTATAAAAAAAAAAACCAGGAAACCTTTTCAAATGACCACTATTCTCTTTGCTACAGTGGAAACAGCATTGGAAGTGGGAATTTTAGGGCCTGTATTAACATCCTAGCCTGGCCACTTTCTAGCTATGTTTACTTTGGGTTAGTTCTCAGACACCATTTCCTCATCCTAAAATGGTAATAAGAATGTTTGCTTCATGGGGTTGTTAAAGAGTATCAAGTGAGATCATACATGAGATAAGGAAAATAGGCTCAGAGGGGCTAGATGATGTCCTATCTAAGTGGTAGGAGTAATTGGTTACTCCAGATCTGTCCATGCTTTTTCTGCTACGCCATATTGCTTCCATCTTTCTAATGACCACCAGCTCCACCTTTCCCTCCCAGAGACACCTCCAAGTACCTACCATGATCTAATTACCAAACTGAGCACCAAGAACACAGTAAGCCAAAGTCCTTGCCCTCAGGAAGTTCCAAGTAGCGTTCCCTTCTTATATAAGTGTTGACTGCCCTACAGTCTATGTCTGATTTTGGTCACTCTCAGGGCCTTCAGATAGCTGTTTTGTTATATTCTGTCCAGTCTGTAATTGTTATCTATAGGAGGGGTTGGTCTGATACAACCTACTCTGCTGTTACCAGAAGCAGAACTGCTATTTATGGATGTTTGGCTTTGCTGTCTAGCTGCTCAGTCTGTTTTTATGCCATGATATTTGGAGAAATTAAAAAACTATGCTGTCCCACTGCCCCCATCCTCCCAAAATCATGTGCTATTTATTTTAATAATAAATGAAATAAAATACTGACTAGAATCTTTCTATTACTCAGAATCTTTGTCCAGATTTCTTTTGCATCTAAAGGGCAACAATACTTGGTCTGAATTTAATTGCTCGAGAGTTAGGGACCGGTAGTGTAGTAGTATAACGACTCTCCTCCCACCCCTCCATACCTGATGTTTTCTTGGCTATACCCTGATCAGGTAATGCTCCAAATTTCCGATGCTGTTCATACCAGTCATTCACTGTCATAGATGCCAGACTTGGATAACCAGCTCCAAATACTCTGCAAGAATCACACTGCATTTAGAAAAGTAAACATAAAGAGCCCTATTAAAAAGCCTCTTCTCTTTAGTGATAAAGCCTGTGTCTGTTTCATCCTTGCTCCCCTACCCAGCTATCTTCTGAGGATTTGTGAAAACTTCTGTTAGGATATGTAAAATGAGGCATCCAGGAAGGAGAATTAAAGGCAAGAGCTTTCATGAGAAGATAAATAGCCCAGAATCATCTCCCAGTAAGCAATCCTGGAGGCTAATGCCCCACAGAGGAGTGATGATACGATGGAAGGAGTATTTATACTTGGAGGGTATAAAAGACACACAGAGGAAGAAGACTCTTCTGCCACCCTACGGAAAAGCATCCCAAAACTCAGAATTAAAACCTAGATAGGCAAACATGTCCTTTTGAGAACTGTAGCTGAAGGAAACAGTGGGAAACAATTTTAAGGTCTACAATCCTCCCTTAGATTCTTTTCTTCTTTCTGTTTTTAATTAGTTAATTAATTAATTTTTGTTGGTTTCCTTTCTAGCCTATTTTTAAGCTCGAGTTTGTGAGGGAAATGTCTGATGAAGACAGACAGAGAAAGTATCAGAGGAGATACCTCTGATGGAAGAACAGCCTCCCCAGGTGAAGCCATTACCTTGTTACTCATGCACTGTAAATGAACCACAAAAGCAGGGGGCTTGCAAAGGCAACCCACTTTTTAATACTACCTACTTGGCTTGGGCCATGTTCCGAGTGAGAACAAACGGTTTCATTGGAGGCCTGTCCTGACGAGATGAGTGAGAAGTTGATGCCTAAAAAGGAAATTAGTTATCAGAAGTGTACTTGTCATTCTGCCCACCCCACTATGCAGGCTCTTATGTCTTTAGGTGCTTGAAAAGCCCTACTTATCAGTCTCTAAGATATATTTGCAGAATACTGATGGTGGAGGTTGGTTAGCTCTCCTGAGGTGGCCCAAGTATCTTGCTGGAAAGGGAGCAAGAGAAAGCTCTCCCAGGAATCATTTCACCACAAGTGAAAAATTACTTGACTTTAAAATACTCCCCTCCAAAGAGGAAGATTCCAAAGCCTTCTTCCATGTTCCATCTAAAACCCTTGAGCTCAATTTGAAGCCCCTTTCCTTAGCCTGGCCTTCAGTGCTAAAGTTGAATTATGAAGACCCTTCTGCTAAAACCCTGTCCAATGTAATTGTGCTATTAATTGTCATGAGCTCCCTAGGGTGTTTTAGAAGTGGATGTTCCTAAATGCAAGGGGGGAAGAATGGGTTAGTATCTTTCATATATAGGTGCACAGAAATGTTTCAAGGAAACTTGGCTGTCCAGGGGCACACCAAAACAAACTATGGTCAAGAAAAATGTTCACTTGGTTCTAAACTCCATCACTTCCAGAGCCAATCCCAATACCAAATGAGAGAGCATAGAAACAAAAAAACTAAGGAGATGGGAGGATCCAGAGGAGTCCAGCCTCATGATGCTTGAAAACCACTCATCTAGATATGCCCAAGGGGCCTTAAGGCCTTAGAATACTAATTGTTCATTCTTTGATCCCTTCACACAGAGAAACTAGGTTGATGTTACCCTGAGGCAAAAGCTCCTGGGCTAATTAGTGCAAATCGAATTAGCAAGAGGTTTCTCTGAGGACTTAAATGCCTGTGACTAGCTGATAAATTCAACTCAATTCATGCTATATTCTGAACCAAAAAATAAGTGGCAGCAAAGCCTAATATTTTGAAGTAGCAGCTCCAAAACACAGTTATGATCTTCAGAGACAGCCAAAGTGGGGTTACACCAAGTTTTCTTTACCAATATGCCCGACACTTTGTGCAGAGATGTCCTTGCTGTGTTTCATACTTGGGTGACCTGAGGTGTGAGGGTGTATCATTGTGTAATGTTAAATCCCGGTTTCTCCCCCAACCTAAACACATTCCATGTCTTTTGCTTTATCTTCTTTTTACTCTTTTCTCTCTCTTCTCCAGTTACACTCTTCTTCTTCATTCCCATCCTAGCCCTCTTCCTGTTCATTACAGTCAAGCACAGGTTTTCAAGGCCCACCTCCCTATGCCTTCCTTCAGGAGTCATGAGTGCTCACAGCCCAAACCAATTTTCACTTCAGAGCAGCCTCCTTCCCTCCTGGCATGTCACAAAATTACAGAAGACTGGAAGTGTGCTACAGGTTAGAAAGCACTGGGGAACAACACTATAAGCTAGAAAGAAAGCTATCCTAGTGAACCTTCAGCCTTCCTCCACTAATCTTAATAAGGACAGTGATTTTATGGAGACTTAAAAGGATTTTAATTCAGTTACTCTCTTGTAGCAGATTCAAATCTCTGACAGACAGTAGCTTTTTTAGGGATACGGGCAGTGGCCGGGCTTACCTCTTTCGAAGAGTCTTTTCCTCTCAAGATCTTTATCTCCTGGTCAATGCTCTCAATCTCTTCTAAGCTGATACCAATCCACCTTCGAAGGTGGAGGAGGTAATATTCACGAACACACTCATCATCTGCTTGGCCACTTTCCACAGCAGATTTCAGGGCAGACAACCTATGCTCCACCTCCTTCTTCTGCTTGTATCTGTTCCACAGAAACGCATTAGCCAGGAACTTAAAAAGAAAGAGGCGCTCCTTCAAAAGGAGGCCGCAATACACTTTTACCTTTACGGATGACCAGATACACCGATTTCCATTTAGGCAAAAATACAGATTCTGTACCTCGGGATCTGCCACCAAGGCAGTTCTCTCAAGACTACAAGGCGAGGAAGGGATCAGCAGAAGCTGAGAAATACATCCTGAAACCGGAAAAATAGCGAAGTAACCTGATATGAGCAACTCTTCCCATCGTATTTTGAGACGGGAGTGCCTTAGTAATTTTATGACATCAACCTTTACTAGGTCGGGTGCTTAGTATATACAATGTCCACTTGGGAATTACAGCTTCAAATAGTCATAGAATCTTAGGGGTCATTTACCTGCCATTGATGCAGGAATTCCTCGTGAAATAGCCTAAAAAATGGTCATCTCTTCTTTTCTTCTGGGCAAAACATTTCCAGCTCCTCTAACTCATCCTAGTATAATTTGAAGACTCATATCCACCCTGCCTGCCCTTTTCAAGATGCATTCTAGTATGTCATCTATCACTCACTGGACAACTATTTACCGAGTACCTATTGTGTGACAGGTACTGTTCTCAGTGCTTGAGACACAACAGTGCATACAAGAAAGTCCTTGCTCTCCTGAAGCTTTCATTCTAGTGTGAGAAGACAGACAAAAAGAAATAGATGAGTCAGGTGGTGGTGAAGTGCTCTGAAGAATCAAAAAAAGCAAGGTGAAGTGGATAGAGCGATGGTGCCAAAGTATGGGTGATCAGGAGAGACTTCTTTGAAGAGATGACATTTGAGCACAGACTTCAAGGAAATAAGGATGGAAGCCATGCCGGTATCTGAAACAGTGTTCTAAGGGGGAAAAGCAAATATGAAGGTCCCGGGGTGGGAGAGTGCTGGCCTGACATGTTTGAGAAATAGCAAGGAGGTCAGTGTGGCTGGCATGGCGTGAAGAATAATAGGAAGTGAGGTCAGAGAGATAGCCAGGGCCATAATTTGTAGAATCCTGTAGGCCAAGAAAACACGAAATACCAAATGTCATGATATTTTGAGAAGAGAAAGCCACTGGAAGCTTTAAAATAGAATACATGAAATGAACTTTTTTTTAATGGACTACTCTGTTGTGTGTAGACTGTGGGGGGTGGTGGGAGGCAAGGGTGGAGCAGGAAAATCAATTAAGAGGATATTGCCACAATCCAGGCGAGAGACAGCGACTTGAAATAGGGAGGTGGTGAGATGTGGACATAATTAAAATGTAACAGTATTTGTTGGTTTACTGGATGTAAGGTCTTGAGGCAAAGAGAGGAATCAAGGGAAAACTCCACAACTTCCAAGAGAAGTACCTTGAAATATCTATGTCTGGAACCCCACTCTAGACCTCCAGAATCAGATGCTCCTCTGTGGGTGTTCACCCAAATCTGAAGTTCTTAACCTGAGGTCCACGGACAGAGTTTGGAGGGAGGGGTGTTCTTGAACTCCCCTAAATTTTGTATAGAATTCTACGTGTATGTTTCTTCTTCTTTTTTTTTTTACTGGGGAGAGGTTAAGGAGGTCCATGACCCACAAAAAGTCAAGAACCTCCGCTCTGGAAACATTCTTTATTATAAAAACTTTTAGGCTCTTCTGCTCCTTTTAATCAACAAGTGGGCACTTTATGTAATGTTACAAATAACTGTCACAGCACCATCATAGGTGGCCTTCTGAGTAAAACACTACACAGGTCAATTCCTAGTTCATGAATGCTATTACAGATATCACTTGAGAACATTTAACTCTGGTGCCACTCGGTTCCTGTGCTTCCTTTCCCATCCTCTGCATGCATGGGGTCTAGTCACACTCTCTGGTCTTTCCTTCTTCTCTACTTCCTTTGCTTCTATGACTTTGCTCCTAGTCATCTTTGGGACTTCTAAGTTCCTGAACTCCTATTCTTTGAGGCCAGTGTTTTTTAGACCTTTCTGTCTTAGCAGAAGAGCCCTTTCTTCTTATGAGAGCTTATTTGGAACTCCAGAAAGTAATAAAAGATAAAATCTGCCTTGGTTAAATCAGAGGAGGGCTCCCAACATGCTCCCTACCCAGGCACTGTGGTAAAATCTTAGGGCTCGAAGGAACAGATTGTAAACCACTGTCCTAGACCTTTGTCACTGTTCTAGATTTCCTATGGTGAGCCATTGCATGCAAACACCCCCTATCACCCTAGAATCCCCCAGTGCTTGTCACCCTTCTGACTCTGGGCCACTTTCATCATTCATTCCCCTTTTCTGTTCCCAAGCTGCTGAAGAGAGGTAACGAACTACAAATTTGTGTCAGATGAGTCAACTACAAATTCATATGATCAAACTTCAGCGGAACGGTCACTCTTGTTCAGCTATCTTTTTGCTCAGCTTTTGTGGATTCCATGCCAACATCATGCTCACCAGATGGCCAGCCAATGTAGAAATTCAATTTCCCTTTTTACCTTAAAATCTCTATAGCTTCACCTTTCCTCCTCTCCTCTTGCCTTTAAGGAGCTAATGTTGTCTTTACCATTCCACTTTGGCTATCAATCCTGTCCCCGCCCACACTCTTCCAAGCCTCACTCAATCAATCATCCTCCCTGTCATTAGCCGTTACAATTTTTCACCCTACTGGTGCCTTTTCCCTATCTTAGAAACACCTTCCCTCAATCCATGTTCTGCCTTTTCAAATGACCACTCTTCTCTCTTTTCTAAACAGCACTAGAACTGGGAATTTGAAGACCTGAGTTTAAAGCCTGGCCACTTACCAGCCATGTAACTTTGGACAAGTCAGTACTCAGAGCCCATTTCCTTATTTCTAAAATGGGATAATATCTGCTTCATGGGGCTGTTAAGAGGACCAAATGAACAATATTCATGAAAGTGCTTTGTAAGCAGCAATATATTGTTATCTGATGGGAAAAATTGAGGTTAAGGGGGGCTAGATGATGCCCCATCTACTAGGTGGCAGAAATTGGACCGGTCACCCCAGGTCTGACTCCAAAGCCCAGGCTTTTTCTGCTATACCATATTGTTTCCATCTTTCTGATGACCACTCTATCTGTCCTTCCCAAAGATACCTCAAGTACCTACTATGATCCAATTACTGGTTGGGTACCAAGGATATAATGATATAATTAGGATACTAAGGATATAATTAGTCAAGGTCTCTGACCTTTAGAAGTTCCAAGTCTAGAAAATAACAGATCGTTATGGCCTGATAAGTAACATAAACTAAGTGCTACAGTACCTGGGGGGGGGAGACAGGTAGAGAGAAGCTTCAAAGAGGACATGACATTTGTCCTCTCTCTTCCCCAGGCTTCTTTCTATAAGTACTTTTACCTGTACCTTGTTGAGTCTCTTACCGCTGTTCTTTCTTTCCTCTTCCTTCTCCCTTAATTTGCCCCAAGGTTTTATCCTTGGCTTTTTTTTCTCTCTACATGTTTTTTCTTGGCAAACTATCCACACCCAGCGACACTCCTGAATTTTTAGCACTAGCAGCAAAACAGTCTGATAAGTTTTAGTTACACATTTCCATCTGTCTATGGACATGGCTGTCCAGTTGTCACTTTAGGACCTAAATTCAGTAAATCTAAAACTAGACTCATTACTTACCCAGCTTCTACTTCTCCATTTCTGTCAAAAGAATGTAGGTACAGGGCTTCCCAGGTGGCGCAGTGGTTGAGAGTCCGCCTGCTGATGCAGGGGACGCGGGTTCGTGCCCCGGTCCGGGAAGATCCCACGTGCCGCGGAGCGGCTGGGCCCGTGAGCCATGGCCACTGAGCCTGCGCGTCCGGAGCCTGTGCTCCGCAACCGGAGAGGCCACAACAGTGAGAGGCCCGCATATCGCAAAAAAAAAAAAGAATGTAGGTACAGTTAATCAAGACTTACACTTACACCTCAAAGATGGGAATTAGAGTAGAGAAGATACGTGAAGAAACAGGTTTTGAGGGAGAGAGAGGACATACCATTTAGGTGTTTTATGTCGGATGGCCTCACTGTGTAAAGTCATGAGGTGGGGGATGGAGGACTTACAGAAATTAAATAAGGATTTGAACAACTTGTTTTCTAATCATATAAACGCTTCTTGCAAAAGTAATATCTCTGATAGTTGTAACTTCATTTTTATCACTTCTTCCCAGCTGAAGTACTATTATAACACGTTAACTTGTCTTTCTGCCCCTCTCTTCCTTTTCAATGTTCCATACACATCACTTCCTTACAGTCCTCCAACCATACTACTCTTAGCTTCTGCCAAATCAGACTATTCTCCATTTCCTGTACATAGCTCCAACTACCCTGCCTCGGGCTTTTGCTCATGTTGTTCCCCCCTGCTTGTCAAGAATAAATATTTTTTGAGCATCTTCTATATACCAAGCCTTGTGCTAGACATACCACACAGAGAACAAGAGAGAAATGGCTACTGCTCTCATGGAGTATACATTCTAGTAGGGGAGAAAGACAAAGCCCAGAAAGACAGATAAATGAAGAGCATTCCATGCAGTGAGAACAACATGTACAAAGACTCTGTAGAAAGAAAGAACTGGATCTGTTCGGAACTGAAAGAAGCCTATTATGGCAGCAGTCTAGTGAACAAGGGGAGTATATGATATATGACAAGACTGGAGAGAGGCCGATGCCAGATCATCCAGGTCTTTATAGTTAATGGCTTGGATATTTCAGGTGAGAGATGCTGGTGGCCTAGATGAAGGTATGATAGTGGAGAAAGAGAGAAACAGAAGGACATAAGGTACATTTTGTAGCTAGAACTGGCAGGCCTTGTTGATGGACTGGATGTGGCAATTCAGAAGGGAGGAACTGAAGCTAACTCCTAGGTTTCTAGCTTAAAACCTGGGTGAGTGGTGGTCTGTTTATTGAGATGGTAAAGACATGAGTGTGGGGGCACGCTGGGGGATTAAAAAGCCAGCAGTTCAATTTAGGGCATGTTAAGTTTGAGATGTCTGTGAAACATCCACGTATGGTGTTCAGAGTCAGGAGAGGTCTGGGTTAGTGATATAAATATGGGAGCCATTAGCGAAAAGATAGTGTTGGTATCTCGTCTGTCATGCATAAAAAACAAAAAAATCAAAGATCAAGCTTTCTGGGCTTCCCTGGTGGCACAGTGGTTGAGAGTCCGCCTGCTGATGCAGGGGACACGGGTTCGTGCCCCGGTCCGGGAAGATCCCACATGCCGCGGAGCGGCTGGGCCCGTGAGCCATGGCCGCCGAGCCTGTGCGTCGGGAGCCTGTGCTCCGCGACGGGAGAGGCCACAACAGTGAGAGGCCCGCATACAGAAAAAAAAAAAAAAAAAGATCAGGCTTTCTAACCAAAGAAATGCAAATCAAAACAATGAGGTATCTCTCCTGCTTGCCCCTCTGGATTTTCTAAGTGTTGCCATTCAGTACTGTTGCAGTGGGACATACTCTGAAACTTTGTTATTGTGGAAAGCAATATAATTACCATCGAGACTCAAAATATTCAAACCTTTTGATTTAGGCACTGGTCCTTCTAGAAATCTGTCCTACAGGAACAGTGACAGATGCAGTGATGTTTCCTCATAACATTACTTAGAATAGCAAATAAAAAATCAACCCATAAACAGGCTAAGCATTTGACAATAAAAGATTAGTTTAAATAATTATGATATGACTGTAAGCTGGAATACTATTTAACCATTAAATACCATGGCTTCAAAAGACATGGGGAAATCAAAACAGGATGTTAGGTTTAAAAAAAAGGATAAAAAACTATATTTATGGTATTCTTCCAAATTTATTAACTAAAATAACTATGTATCTGGAAGGAAATACATCAGATAGTTAACAAAGCTCATCTGAGTGCTAGGATGAAGACTTATTTTTAATTTAAAAAATGTTCTGTTTTCCAACTTTCTACAATGAGTATTATTACCTTTACATTCAGGCTAACCTGTAATTTGCATTTTTAATTTGCATCCTTCTAGTCTCACCTCAAATGCTACTACATTCGGAAACCTTTTCCTTAACCCTCCAACCAGATGTGATCACTCCCTGGTCTTTGTCCACAACACCATTTGTATCTCTCTAGTGCATTTACAGTCTTTTTCTTTTTTTGGATATATTACGATTATTTGGATACCAAATTCACTGTTTAAACTACCTGTTATATGCCAACGGGCTGCCCCTACCTTCTCACAAAGGACACGATACTGAATTCCACTTCATATCAGTCTATCCCATTTCCTCAAAAATCATTCTCTGTCACTCACCAGCTCTTAACCATACTTTATTATTCTTTAAAGCCCTTACCACCTAAAATCACATTTTTATTTACTAGCTTACTGTCTGTCTCCTCCACCAAAACAAGAGCTCCATGAGGGCACGGACTTTGTCTGGGTCTCCATTACTTAGCACACAGTAAAGCCTCAATAAATATGCTAAATGATTCAATCAATTTTCAGCTCTCTAGACCAGGCCTCTCCACTGAGCTTCATGCTACAGATACCTTGACTTGGATGTCTCCTAGGCACCTTAAATGCAACATGTCTCAATATACAATTCATACTCTCCCCTGTCTGTTCTTCCTCTTCTATTCCCCCATCTCAATGAGTTCCACAGCCACCCACCTACATCAGAAACATGGACACCTTCCTTGCTGCTTCATTCTACCCTACCTGTCACAACCAATTGATCGTTTTCTGCAGATTCAACCCTATAAATAAATATATCCCCTCCATCCCTTCTGCCATTGCAGTAGTAAAGTCTCATCACCTCTGTGACCTAACTGGATCTAATTTCTCCCTCAGAATGCTTCCTAACTGCTGCTAGAGTACGCTAGTTAAAAGGCAAATATGACATTGCTACTCTTCAAGGAAAAAAAAAAAAAACCTCCAGTGGATCCCTAGTCACCAAACAAATCTCAGGCTCTTTAGCATGGCCTAATAATAGGTAACATTTATAGAATATTTACCATGTAACAGATACTGTGATGTTTTATGTGGTTTATTTTATTAATGCCTCTTAACCCTATGAGATAGGTACCACTGTTACTTAGACTTCACATATGAGGAAACCTGAGGCTCAGACAGGTTACATAAGTTACCCAAAATCCAATGGCTTATAAGTAAAGCTGGGTCTCAAACCCAGGTCTCTCTTTCCACGACCTGTACTCAGCTACAAAGATAACGACAATAGCTGACTTTGAGTGCTTACTGTATCAGACAATGTGGTAGGAGCTTTTTATGCATTTCTCTTCTATTTTATAGGACCTATGATTATCCAATTTGCCATCTGGGGAAATTAAGGCACTGAGGGATTAAGCAACCTACCCAAAATCAGAATGATTAAATTTTGGAGCTGGGATTCAAACCCCCTTCCCAAGTTCTCAGGAACAACGTCGTTCTTTCACCTTCCTCACACCCCAAGCTCTCCTTGGTTTGAACCCTACAACATTCTTCAGCATCATTCTTTCCCCTTCTTCACCACCCACTTTGTGTTCTAGCATCACCTAATTGCTTACGGTTGTTCCCCACCCCAGCACTGTGGTCTTCAATGTCCCTGTAGCTTTACTAATGCTATTATCTCTGCTGGCTAAAGCCCTCCTTTCCTCTTCCTCTAGAGGATACTCCTATGCATCCTTAAACAACTCATCACAGGAGTCACCTCGTCCAGGGAGTCTTCTGCTCTCTCCTGCTCCCTCTTTGGTTAGGTGCCCCTCCTGTCTGCTCTCCCGATACCTTGTGCATTTCCCTATCACATCATTTTATAATTTATACTGTTTCTATGCCTCTTTTCCTCACCACACTGTATGCTCCTCCAAGGCAGACACCACCCATATCCATACAAACGCCCATACTCAGTTTGAATCCCCGGTGCCTAGCATAGCTCCTAAACACTGTGAGCGCTGTTTTTAAAAAACTAAACTAAGAGAGTAAGCAAGGTGTTCAAGGTCACATAATGAAGCTATGCCAGTACTAAGATTAGTTCAGGATGTTATACACCTGATCCAGTATTGTTAGAACAGAGTTTCTCAATCAATTGACCATAAATGGACTATAGCTACAAGATATTTGTGCCCTTCAGAGATACTTACCTCACTGTACCATGTGAGTATTGCTATGCTGTGATGTGGGAGAGACTGGGAGACACTCTGCTAAACTACATTGCTGTTGCTGGCAACCGTAAGGTGCTAGGGGTCTGACAGTTAGGTATGGTCATTTCAACCAAGGCGGGGGCTTCTTGAAAAACTCAGAAGTTTGCTATCACCAGGGCCTATGCTAAATAAGAACCCAAAGAGTGACACACACCATTTTTTTCCCACCCCCCCAGAAAAAAAAAAAAACATGCACCCCTCCCCGCCAACAGCACTGCCATTGGGCAGTCTTCAAATGACCCACCTCTCTATTTTAGCCTGTCTCTGAGATGCCATAGCAACGAGGCTAGGATAGGCCATGGAGGAATCAGCAGTGTTATTTTCAGCAGAGTTGGCCTTGGTTTTGGGCAGCTCAAACTCTGCCACATGATAGTATCGGCACTGAGTTAAGTAGTTTAAAAAGTGTTCTCGAGCCCACTGCAAATGATCTAGACGCTTGCTGGGGTTGACTTGTTTCATGGCGAATGCTCCTTGAAATGCTGGCACCATCAGGTACTTCAGATCGGTGGAAGCAATCTCTTCCAAATCTTCATTTCGGCTGGAAAGAGCAAAGAGGAGGCTGTGAAGTCTGGCTGGGCATTCAAACTGTGGCCCTGGCTTCCTGGGGGAGGGAAGGGCTGGGGTGTGGGTGGGGGTGTGGGTGGGACAAAGGGAGGAGGCACCGGGAACAGCTGCCAGTTTTCTTCACTGACAGTGGCTGTGCGCTCACACCCAATGCCTATGCAAATAGCCAACACTAGGGAGCACAGTCGTGTGATACTAAGTATCTCGGAAGAGAGGTGGAGAATGTAAACAATGTACACAAGGTCGCAGTGGGAGGTAGGAAAGAAAGGCTCCGGGTTTTAAAGGTCTCCTGCACCCAGGATCAATGGTTCCGCCATTGGTAACTATTATTACCTACGTTCTCAGTCATACTACCCTCTCGCCATACCTGAACAAGTCGAGCTCCAGTAACATTTCGGCAGCCTTCTTCAGGAGGTCCAGTCCCTTGAACACCTTATCCTGGATAATCCGGGAGCCGGTGGGTTCAGTCGCGACTTCCACTTCGTCCAGAAGCTGCTTGCTGGTTTCGAACAGCTCGGGGAGCCGCGGCGGCAGTAACTCGTCTCCGGCTGTTGCCATCTTGGGGAAGGGACGAACACGAAGACCTCACTTCCGGCCCTGGGACAGATGGGCTGGGCTGCCAGCAACGAAACCGGAAGGGGCGCAGCATTGGTCCAGCGGCTCCACTGTTAACTAAGCGTCGGACAACTGCCAGAAGCGGCTGTTAGCTAAACCGAGCAACTGTTTCCATAGACTCATTTTACCAGGCTGCCTATTACCGGTAGTAGGCATCTGTTACAGACACACAACGCGCAAACAAGCAAACCCTAGGTGCTGCTTTTCGCGTGGCTACTCGTCGCCGATCCGGGTCTGGGCAGTGCCGTAGGCTCTGAAGCGCGGGTGTGACGAGGCTGAATTCGGAGCTAGGGCGGGCGCGAGAGGGTAGGCGCGGACGCGCCCACGGAGTCGGCCAGGCGTGCGCCTTACCTCGCAAGGCTGTCCCTGGCCTGAAGGGCTGGGGCGGCCAGGGTCGTGCAAGTAGCGCCCCCCTCCGGCTTCCGTACACCCAGCAGCTGGAGCTCTGGGTTCCTCCCAGCCAATCCTCGCCTGCTCTCTTTCCCGTCGCTTCACCCCTCCTACACACACATTTAAAAGTTACTGTTACCAACCCCTTTTACACACACACACACATTCAAAAGTTACTGTTACCCCTCCTATACACACACACACACACACACACACACACACTTCCTCTGTGAAAGCTTCCTTGAGCCTCTCTCCCCCGCCAAATGAAAATTTTTTGTGCATCTCTATCAGAACACCTACCACATTGTATTACAGCTAGTGACTTACAAATCTATCTCCCTTACCGCTATGAGTCTGATTAATTTTTGCACCTCTCCGGCTAGCCCAGTGCCTGGTACTTATTAAGTGCCCAGTGTCATTACATGAATAGAAAAATAAGTGATCGGTTTGGAAAGCAGCTCAATTACGCAGAACTGCGCTGTTCAACACGGTAGCCACTTGCCACATGGGGCTATTGAGCACTTGAACGTGGCTATTTTGAATTGAGATGTGCTTTCAATGTAAAATATACACCGGATTTTGAGAACTTATTACGAAAAAATAATGTAAAACATCTCAATAATTTTTACACTGACTACATGTTGAAATGCTAATGTTTTGTATATATTGGGTTAAACATATTATTAAAATTAATTTCACTTGTGTCTTTTCACTTTTATAATGTGCCTACTAGAAAACTTAGAATTACATATTAGGTTCTCGTTTGTGGCTAACAGCTACTGTACAGCGCTGATGTAAAAATAGAATTCCAGGACTTTGAAAGAAGAGACCTCATTGCTTTGAACAAATCAATATAAATATGTACTGATTACCATAGGACACACCCCGAGTTGTCCTAGGAGATTTAATTTAAGTAAAATGCATGTTGCCTGCCCTGGAAAATAAGCTTTTAAACTAAATGTAGTTTACACCATCATTGAGAAGAAAAAATTTTTCATGTAAAAACAACTAGAGGGCAATATAGGACAGTATATAACTAGGGGATATGTTGTACTGCATAGGTTTCTGGAAACCCAAGAAATGACAAGTCATTTTATGTTAGTAGTCAGAAAGCTTCTTAGACATGACATGCAGTCACAGAATTTCAAAGTTGGAAGAGGATCTCAAAAATCAGAGGAAAAAAACCTGAGATCAGATAAGTGACTTGCCCAACGATTTGTGACAAAGCCAGTGTCTTCTAAGTTCAATTGTTTTTACTCCATCTATCTTAAATTGAGTAGGATTTAAAAAGATGGAGAGGCCTTTCATGTGGGACAGAATGAAGCCCCAAGCTAAACCAGTGCTTGGCAAGAAGGAGAGGAGAGTGGGGCATAAGTGTGGGTTGAAAAAGCTTCCCAGGTGATTCTAATACGCCTTCCCTTGCAACCTGCTTTAGAAGCTGAGGAGGAAAGGAAGCTCTGGTGAATCACCAATTTGATTTGTCTGGTACCTCTAATGAGTCTTGTAAACTGAACTTTCAAGGTCAGCCTTGGCCAAGAATACAAAGAAGAAAGATAGTACTTGTGAAGGAGACTTAGAAACAGTAATTGTGAGACTAAAGATAATTTGTTCCTGCACATTTGCTTGGATTAAGACATAGCTTTACTGTTGCCTAAGAGAAAAAAAAATACGCAGAATTTGAATCTGGTCTTGAACTTTGTAAGCCATTTTTCTATGGCTTTCAAAATGACAGTCCTCATGAGAATCGCCAGTTACTTTCAGAGTGCATATCATATATTCACATCATCATTTTAAATATTGAATTGCATCTTATTGAGATAATACCAAGATTAAAAAGTGGTTAGAAAAAAGTAATAATAAAAATGAGTCATTTATTGTGTTTCTGTGTGTAAACACTTTATCACATTAAATCCCAGTTGTGTATGAGAGATTTTTTTAAAAAATCCTAGTTTAGGGGAACCAGAAGGGCCCTTAGAAATCTTGTAAGTATAATGTCACTTAAACTTTTTGTAATAGCAGAACTCTTTTTCCAAACCAAATTTTAGACAGGCCCATAGTTTTTAAAAGGGCTGCTGTGTTTGAAGTAGATACACAGAAGCCTGCCAACTCAGCCCATCTTTTCCCCAACTTGTGCAGTGGCACCCAAGGCACCAAAGCACTTCTGAGGGACTTGAGGGCTCTAAGTAACACAGTATAAAAAGCACTAATCTAGCACAGCCCCCTCATTTAGCAGATGAAGAAACTGAGACCCTGAGAAGTTAGGCAACTTGCCCAAAGTCGCAGAGCTAGGATGACTAACTGGTCAACAGTATATAGAGTGAGTCGGAATGGGGAGAAACTAAAGTCCAGGAAAAGAGTAGAAAGCATTTTAAGTAATCTGTGCATAGCTATAGAAATGAGATGACCTTTCAAGTATTTCCTGTTGTGACTCCCCGATCGAAATGATGGATGTTCATTTGTCATGTTTGGATCAACACAGATTTGTTCTCTTAGATAAATTTTGTGAGTCATGAGAGAAATGGTATAGTAGACCTTTTCCTGCCTGTCCGAATTGCGGCGCTTGGCAATTTAGACCTTCTTTGGTCTACTGCTGTTTTGTCTTGAGTGAGTAATGTTCTACTGTTATTTGTACCTGTAATGCCAGCAATAACACTAGATGAGATCAAATTGTGCACAGTGTAAAGCCAAGAGCAGGCTGTAACTTGCCAAAAATTATATATGGAGTAATGACTTAATCCCTAGTTCAAACTATCTTCACTAGGTATTTCTGAGATTTGAATTTGCCTGACTAGTAGCAAGAAGTTCATTAAGCCATGAAAGGAAAAACTCCAGTACAGTGAAGACTGAATTAAATGAAAGATTTAAATTCCTACTTTTATATCCAACTCTGAGGAGTGTGGTAAAACAGTTAAAAACACTCTGGAGACTGATATTTGAGTCCTACCTCTGCTACTGAGTAGCTGTGTGACCTTGCAGAAGTCCCTTCCTTTCCACATTAGTTATGTGCTACCTAAGTTCTAGGCACTGGAAATTCAAAGAACAAGACACTGGGTTTGAGCCCTTAAGGGGCCCACAGTTCAATGGGAAAGACCAGTGAACAAATAATCAAATAGGAATTTGGTAAGAATGGAGGGAATAACTTTAGCCCTGAGGGGGGCATTCTGTTAAAGGTCAAACTCCATACCTGACTTTCTGATCCTTTCTGACCTGCGGCTGACATCCTTTTCATTCTGTTCACCCATGGATCCTAAGCTCCACCTTTAGCGGACTCTCCTAGTTCTCCAAACTATCATGTCCTCTTAGGCCTTCATGCATTTACATGGGTCGTGCCTTCTGCCTGCAATGTCTTTCTCTCCCTTGTCTGCCTGGCAAATTTATATTTAGTACTGACAACTTAGCTGAAGGATCACTTCCTCCAGGAAGCATTTCCTGATCGTTTACCTGCAGGTGAGGTGCCCTCCTCTTAGCTCTTACAGCACTTTATTCATCTCCTTATGACAGTACTGGACTATGGTTTTCTTTATCCACAGCTGTCTCTCAGTAGCCTGAGAGCTCCTTGAGGTCAGGGAGAGTGTCTTGTTCGACTTTGTTTACCTCAGCACAGCACCTTACGCTGTGGGGTCATTAGGTAGGGACTCAATGTTAAATGAATTACAAAACAATAATACCTTACCTTCTCTGAGTGCTCATTTCCTGCTAGATGACTGTGCTAAGTATTTTTTTTTTTTGCGGTACGCGGGCCTACCCACGGCCACGGCCCCCCCTGCCGCGGAGCACAGTCTCCGGACGCGCAGGCTCAGTGGCCATGGCCCACGGGCCCAGCCGCTCCGCGGCATGTGGGATCCTCCTGGATCGGGGCACGAACCCGCGTCCCCTGCATCGGCAGGCGGACTCCCAGCCACTGCGCCACCAGGGAAGCCCATGTGCTAAGTATTTTATATGCATTTTCTCAATGACTCTACAACTGCCGTAAGAAATAGGTGTTGTTATATCCTTCTTTTACAGATGAGGAAATTGTGGCTCAGAGAGGTTAAAGTAACTGGCCCTTTAGTGTTCCCTTACCACGGGATTTGAACCCAACTCCTTTGAATCCAGATCCTATTCCAGAGCCCATGCTTTTAACCACTATACTATACTACAAAAGAGGGGGGAAGTTACAGACCTAGTGAAGAACGAAAGGGGAAATGAACATGTAGCAGATTGTGCTAAAAAGTAAAAGGAAGCAAGGCTGAATCAGTAGGATGGCCCACATTATGGAGGATGTGGAGTCAGCCAGAAGTGGGTAGACTTGATGTGCTGTAAGCAATAGGGAGGCATTTGGTTTAATTCAATATTTATTAAGGACCTATTATGTGCCAGCCACTGTGCTAGCTGCTGGGATATAAAGATGCATAGTCTTTGCTCCCGAAGCTCTAACTGCCAGGTGAGGGAGACAGACAGCAAGTCAATGTAAAGTGGTATATGATTTTATAGTGATACATTGAGAGTGATACATCTCAAAGGAGATGATGCCAAAACTGAGTCTTGAATGGTGATAGGATGTGTAGGGAACTTGAAGCATTTCACTATTATTGGAACTTACAGCTGGAAGCAACAGGAGGTAGGTAATTAATTCATTCAACATGTATTTATTGAATGCCTGCTATGTGCAAGACA